ATACCTATTATGAATCCCACTTGGTCATTGGTGAATTATTTTTTTATGTACTATTGGGTACTATTGGCCAGGGTTATATTCAGGATTTTTGCATCTATGTTCATGAGAGATATTGGCCTATCAATTTCTATTTTTGTAGTGTCTTTACCTGCCTTTGGTATCAAAGAATATGTTTGCTTCATAGAATGAGTCCAGGAGGATTCCATCTTTTTAAGTTTTCTGCAATAGTTTATACAGATTGGTGACAGTTCTTTAGCATCCTGGAGAGGTCCTTTACAGCATATTTTTTCAATGCATCTTACCTTTTGATTTTCTGATCATTGGTGCTGAGTTTTTATTATGGATCTGAGCAAGATGAAATCATTAACATCTTCAATCTTTTCTCCATCTATCATGAGTCTGCCTCTTGGCCTGGAGGTGAGGATTTTTGTTCTCCAGATATTGAGCTGAAGTTCATATTGAAGACTGCTCTCCTTGATCTTATGCATCAAGTGCCTCAATATTTCTCAGTTTTGGTGAGCAAGGTGGTGTCATCTATGTAACACATATTGTTGATTAGTCTTCCTCCATTCCTTATGCCACATTCTTCTTCATAAAGTCCAGCTGCCTGAATGATATGCTAAACACATAGATTGAAAAAGTATGAGAGAAGATACATCTCTGATGCACTAGATTGTTGATTTTGAACCATGTAGTGTCCCCTTGCTCTGTCAGACAATGGTTTCTTGGACTTTAGTTTCATATACTTCTCTAGTGTTAGTGTTATTTGTCAATTTCCCTATTCAGTAAAACAGAAAGTACTCGTATATGTTGGGTCTCCACTCTTTTTATAAATTTTCTTCCTTACTTAATTTTATGTATTTTCATTTTCACTTCTTTTTTTTAGATTTTATTTTAATAATTTTAATGAACATTTACAGAGATTTTGGATTTCCATCATACATTGTTGCATTTTTCTCCCTGCCCAGCCCTCCCTCCTGCCACCCACCCCAGTTCCCTCCTCTCTTTGAAAGTAAAAAAAAATTCTTTCTTTGATATACAATCCCCCCATACCCCTTCCACCACCCCAAGTACACTCCACTATGCAACCTTAATTGTGGACTCTTGTTAGAACCGTAATACCCTATCTTACATCGCTTTCAAATTATTATTTCCCTCATCTGTTTCAATGCAGTATACCCAATTTATCCAGTTTTTCTCAGTCTTACCCCAACCCTGATATCAGTCCCATTTTACAGCAGTGGCACCATGCAGTATTTGTCCTTTTGTGACTTAGATATTTCACTCAGCATAATGTCCTCCAGGGTCACCCACATTGAATAATATTGCATGAGTTCCTTGTTTTTCAATGCAGCATAGTATTCCATTGTGTGAATATACCACAGCTATCCATTAGTTTGTTGATGGGCACCTGGGTTGTTTCCAACTCCTTGCTATTATGAACAAAGCTGTTATAAACATGGGGGTGTATCATTTTCACTTCTTTTCTTCTGCTCACTAAGAAAAAGAGAAAAAGAAACAAAATGTCCTCAGTAGATACGTAGGCTAATAACCCAAAGGAAATAAGAAGGCTATATCATTAGAAGTCTAAGACAACCCTGATTTCCAGAATATGCTCCGCTAGATAATAATGAAACAGAGATTCCAAGGTGACAGAAATAAGGAACGAAGTTAGGAGAATTAGTTAATTAGAGAAGTGAAGGTATTTTAATTTTATTTCTCAAGAACTAAATTATCAGGATTAAGTGTAAGATATGAACACTGATTAAAACTATTTTATCCTTTATTTAAATGATTCAACAAGTACTATATGCAGGTTGAAAACATAGAATATGTATATTGTTTAAGCCTAGGGCCAAAAAACTGAAAGATGTATCTCTCTATCTGTCAGTTTAAAGGCTATGGTGCACCTAATTAAAGCCATGTGTTTTTAAATTACTTTTTGTTACATCTAAAAGTAGTACAAAAACTACTTTTAGAAGGATGAAACAAGAAGAACTGATAACTTTGTGTTATGGTGTTAGGAAAGTGTCCTAAATATCCTGTGGATTACCAAAAGAAAAAACAGATATGTTTGGAGAACACACAGCAAGAGCTCTCTTTAGAATCATGAGTGATACTTCATCTTACAAAATTTGGGCATGATGTTAAGAGAGAGCATCCTCAGGAAAATGTATCATACACAGAAAGATGAAGGGACAGTGAAAGAAAGAAAGATTCTCAATGAGATGGACTGGAACAATGATAGCAGCAATAGCTCAGAAGATGGTGAGGATAAGACAAGGTTCAGTTCCCTTGTTCACAGGGTTGCTATGAATTGTCTTTGACTCAACAGCTCCTGACAACAATACATATGTCTCTACTTAGCACTGACCATCCTTCATAAAGGAGAGAGGAGAGTCCAAAAAGTCAAGAAAAAAATCAGAAATGTGACGTACAGAGAGAGAAACAAGTAACAAAACAAACATCACATCTGACATGATTGATTAATTCAGTTATAGATATTAAGCAAATACATGCATTCTGAGAGGAGGATGAGTTACAGCTTGTGGTTTTCAAGCATAAAGGTTGTCAGAGAAAGTTTGTTTTACTATTCCAACTGGGAAAAAAAGACAAAGGGGAGAAAAATCACATAATTCAACATATGTCCTAGGTCCTAGTTCTATTTTCAGAGTCTCTTCTGACATCTGTTGTGGTGTTTTCTTTCTCTCCTGTTTTCATAAGACCTTTTGTTTTTTTTTCCCCTGTATGATATCCTAATATCATCCCACAATTCATCTAGTCTTTGTTCATCAGTATTTGATGCTCAAAGATATTCTTAAGATGGTTTTGAAATTCAGATAGGATAGTTTAAGGTCATACTTTGGTTCTTGTGGACTTGTTTTAATGTAACTAAAATTTGTTGAAGGTTATCAAAAAATTGCTGAAAGAGTAAATTGACAGATGATTGCCCAAAATTCAAGCCAGATGTGGAAGAGGTCGTTGTACCAGGTGTATCAACGCTGATGGCAGATGGATCATGGTTAAAAACAGAGACTGTAAGAACGTCACTTATTTTCCTTTTATTGACTATGCAAAAACATTTGACTCTGTATACAATAATAAATTATGGATAATATTGAGAAGAATGGTAATCCAAAAAAACTGAATTGTGGTCATATGAAACCTATGCCTAGATCAAGAAGCTGTTGTCCCAATAGAGCAAGGAAACACTAAATGGTTTAAAGGAAGATAAACATCATGGATGTGTCCTTTCTTCACATCTTTTCAATCTATATTCTGCACAAAAGATTTTAGGAGTTGGACTTTCTGAAGAACAATGTAGTGTCAGGATTGGAAGAAGATTCATCAATAAGCTGCTTTATGCAGATGACACAATCTTGCTTACTGAAAGTGAGGACTTGAAACACTTGTTGCAAAAAATCAAAACCTACAGCTTTCAATATGGATTACATTCCAACTTCAAGAAAACAGAAACTCTTAACACTGAGTCAATTAGCAACGTAACAGCAACATAAAAGAAGAAAATGTCAAAAATGATAATTATTTTAACTTGCTTAAATCCACAACAACACCCTTTGTACCAAAAGTCAAGAAATCAAAAGCTGTGGTGCCTTGACAAACTCACTTTGGGACCTCTCCAAAATACTTAGGAGAGACAATGTCAGTTTAAAACTAAGGTGTACCTGATTCAAGCCACCATCATTTCCATTACTCACTCTGCATCTTAAAGTTAGACAATGAATAAGGGTGACAGAAGAATCATTCCTTAGAATTGTAATGCTGGAGAAAAGAGTATTCATTTCATGGACTACTCAAAGAACAAATAAGTATCTTGAAGAAACTATCTTGAAGAAAATGTAACCATGGTACCCCTTAGAGGCAAAGATGGTGAAACTTGGTCTTAATTTCTATTGGCATGTTGATAGGCAGGACTATTCCTTGGAAAAAGACATCATGCTTGGAAAGGTAGAGGGTCAGTGTAAAAGACAAAGATCTTCAACAAGATGTATTGACACTGTGGCTGTAAAAAAAGGACATGATATGTCAGAAATTATGAGGATGGTACAAGATAGTGCAAGGCTTAGATCCATTGTTCATTAGGTCATCATGAATCATAGTCAACTTGACAACACCTAAGAATGACAACAAGCATAAATCAAAGGTGGGGATATTGGATAAATTGAAAAGAAGAAAAATCCACTTCTGTCCATCACTTGATTGGCAGGATTTCACAAAGGGACAGAGAAGCCACAGGAAACAGACAACTGTCAGGAAGGTACCCAATGGATCCAGGCAGGAAATCACCAAGTAATTGTTACCTTCAAGTTTCTCCATCATCAGTTGTGTCTACTTGTTTTCTCCTCAGGAGACAAATCCTCTAAGCCATCTGTAGCTGATAACATTTGCTTCAGAGCAGAGAGGATCATAACATCCTTTATAAGGTCCAACTCCCACTCGAAAGTGTAATTGCTAACCACCAAGATGTTTGAAAGAGGAAATCCAAGCACTTTGTGGACTTCCTCTAGCTAGAATACAAAGATTAAAGCTCAGAAATTTTAAAGCAATGAAAAATATTGTTTGATGCAAATACAAATTATGAAATCACTAGCAAAAAGTCTGAATTTTACAACAAACATCCTGAAGAGGAAACAGTAGATAACTGGCTTCATGACAATATTTCCTGAAGACCTTTGCTGTTATCTTTGATGTTAAATTGACTGGGACTCCTAGTAACTCTATAAAATAGATCAAAACTTTGCCCAATCTTGAACACCCCTCAAAACCTCAGCTGTGCTCAAGGCTTTCACTAGTGAAGTAAGGAGCTGCACGGCCAATCCAAAGTCCAAAGTCCAAATTCACCTGTTGCTCTGAGTCAAATCTCTTCCCTGCAATTTAGAGCTTCTAAAAACCAACTGGAAGATTAGCCATGTGTCACTTCTGACTCAATGGACCATAACAACATGTCAAGCCCTAATATCATATTCATTTTCATTTGTAATATATGTAATTGATTGAATATAAATTAGAAATAAATGGTAACTAATAAACTATATTAACCTTGAAAATTTTTAAATTTAGTTCTGTTTTATAAACAATTCTCAGGATAAATCAGTTATTCTAAGCAAATTTAAATTTTAAACAAAACAAATAACCAAATCATTTGATTCACCTAATGGTGACTCCATGTATACCACAGCTGAATTTTGCTCCATAGGATTTTCAATAACTGTTTTATTGTTAGCAGTGCAATGTGCTGTGGACTGTGCCACCAGACCTCCTTTCAACAGCTGTTTATTAAAGGTAGATCGATCATTAGGAGTTCTCTGAGACACTACTGGGTGGACCTGGGTCACCAACATTTCAGTTAGCACTTAAGCTGGGTTAAGAGTTTGCAGCATCCCAGGACTTTATTCTTAAACAGATTTCTCACTGGGGCCTGTCTATATTAAAAGCTTTGGTTCTGTTATTTTATCTCTCAATATACATAGTATAGACCTTAGACTCCAGGTTTTTGCTTTCAAATATGTAAAGTATGGTAATGAAAGCACGCATTTCTTAAGAGTTCTTATGACAATTGGATAAGATAATCTTACATATTTACTGCTCAGGAAATAGCAGTTGTTACATTCTCCCAATTGATGTAATCACTCCCAAGTTCCTCTGAAAATCTATCTTTCTGCCCAAAAGTGTCAGACTATTTGCTATGAAACTTAATTTTGATCACATCACCTCTCTTAAAAAAATTCTTGATTTTCATAATGCACTTAATTAAGTAAAATTTTTCCCTTGCAAACTTCCCTATCTCACGTTTTCTTCCCCTAAAATGAGCCTGCCCACTATTAAGCTGAGCAATGGTCTGCTTCCCAAACCCACTGTCTTTGCTGGTATTGGTAAATTTATTGACTGATTCTATTCTCCTTAAAAGTCACTTTCGAATGTCACTCTAGTAATGAAATCCTTGACATAATTTTTTTCCTACTACAACCATTTAAATCAACTTGTTCTTGGCAATTTCACATTCATCATACTCAATCATAACAAATGTTATTTTTTTTCTTATCCTGTACCTCTATCACCTTACCCTCATTTACAAATTTGAAAGTATTATAGTAAAGGATAATTGTTTCAATTATTGGCATAACTGGTTTAAAGAATGTTGAAGGTAATCAACTAATATGGTTTCAACTGAATCAAGTAGAATTAGTTTCAATAATGTTAATTATGTTTGTGTAAAATAAAACATACACACTTTTGCATTTCAAGAGTGACTAAATGACTCAGGTAACTGAGTCATCCTTAAACTTCAAGGGTGTCTATTTTCTATTATTGTTGTTTGTTGTTGTTACAGGGTCACAGTGTTCAGCATTACAGCAAATACAAGTTACCTCTGTACAGCAAATGGACTGATCAGTGCTATACTACCTAGAAGAAGGTTTGACCAAAACCAACATAGATTAAAATCACCCACCTTTGGTTTGATAGCTTCATTTTCAATCCATTAGGACAACAAAAGCTCTCTCTATGTTGTTGTTGTTGTTATATATACAATAATATAGTAAAATAATAAAATGATGATGATATCCCGGAAAAATATGTTTACAAAGAGTATCATTCATTACCTTGAGCTTCACAGGCATACATCTGTATGGATCTAGAAGATCAGCTTTCGTAATCAGTTCCAGCTCATCCACGTGAGTGAGCAAAACCATTTGTACCACACCTACACAAAATAAATATGCGTGATTGATTTCTAGCATTATGCATAGTATTAGCACTTATTCAGTTAATTAATGACCAAATATGCAATTGCACAGGAACAGGTACTGTTTTGTTCTATTTCATGTAAGGTCATCCTGAATTATAGCTAATTAGCTACAAGGGTCACTGTGAGGCAACTTGACGGCACATAACAAGTGCAGGTAATAATGACATGTTAGTCTATTTGTCTATTTATGAAGCAATTTCAAAATTTGAGAAGGTCTTTTCTACTCAACACCAAATGACCAACCACAATAAAAACCCCTAAACTATTGATTTAAAATTCAAACTCATTGCTCTGAAGTGAGAATCCACTCATAGCAGACCTTTCATCGGACTTTTGAGGCTGTAAATAGCATCAAAAAGACTGCTCATCTTTCTCTCATGGAAGCTTTGGGTTAGTAAGTAATACAGCATTCTATGAACTAAGCCCTCAAATCCTGGAATTGTTATAACATAGGAACTCCCTTCATTGCTTTCCTTTTGAAAAATGAAGCTTTAAATTAAATCACCTCTTGGAAGTTGTTGTTGTTTTTATGTGCCATCAAGTCGCCTGTGACTCATAGCAACCCTATGGACAACATCCCTAAACTCTGTCTTGTCCTGTACCAATCTTACCATCTCTGACACACCTACCCCCATCACCCCAGTCACTGAATCAATCCATCTCATCAAGGGTCTTCCTCTCCTGCGCTGTCCCTCCATTCTCCCAAGCATGATGTCTCTCTCCAAAGACTTGTCCCTCCTGGCAACATGTCCAAAGTATGTCAGACGAAGCTTCAGAATCTTTGCCTCCAAACAGCATCCCGGCTTCACCCTCTCCAGGACAAGCCTGTTTGTTTTCCATGGTATATTCAATATTCTTCTCCAGCACCACAGCTCACAGGCATCAATTCTTCTATCATCACTAGTCATTGTACAGCTCTCTGATGTATAGCAAGCGATTGCAAAGACCGTGGAGAGGTAACTAAAATTTTTATTACACTATTCCCTGATCCTATCCTAACAATTGTGTTTGGGTGGAAACTGGATAAAAGACAGTGGGCACTAGGTAAAAGAGAAGGGAAAATGTAGGCTGTGCCAAAGTATCCCAAACAATCTATTCTTATTCATAGTTCTAGAAAGTACCTCCCTGTACACTACTTTTGAAAGATTTTAAATTTTAGTGACCAGGTAAGTCAATTACTATCTGCTTTAACTCTAACCAAAATTATGATAAACTGGCTATTTCTCAAACAAAATAGATGACCAAGAAAATCTAGAGTGAGATACCCCAATCCCCGGTACCAATTACCTTCTCTAAAGAAAATCTTTAAGCTACTTCTTTCTATGAAGCATAATGTTTTATTTTCCTTTGTTAAATGCTCATTGCAACTTCCTAATCATTTAAGGTTGAGGGGAAATACTAAGACTGTTGAACAATAAAGTCAATCTGTAATGGAGAGATAGTAGGTAACTGACTGGGCTATACTAATCTTTTTTACCTCTAGTAATGTATTTGATCCATAGAATAAATCTTTGTAGTAGGGCGTATTATATTCATTATTTAGACAAAGAATTGAGGCAACAAAGACTTAAAGTCATTTGTGTTATAGTTAATGAGTGCTCAAATTGAATGCTAGTTGGTTAGGAAAAATTTAGAAAAGTAATTCTATAAGTCCCTTTTCTCATCCAAAACCATTCTACAATACAGTTAAATAAATTTGCAAATTGGAATGAGACTCACCATACTTTATCACCTCCCTTCGAAATTGTTGTATCTTTGTCACCATACTATGAGAAAGTTTGTTAATGGAGTTGCAATCCAATAAAAATACCACACAGTGAATCCTATCTTTCAGTAATGGGGAGTCAATGTAATTAAGATGATCCAGTGTGATTGATTTTGTGGAATTAAACTGTAAGATAAACAAAAATAAACATATTAATAGATAATAACTAAAAGCACGTACTACTTACTAGCCGTTCTGTAAGTGAACAAAAATGATGAGCAAACAGATTTCTTAATTGTATGAGGCCTGTAGTCTAGTGGCAAATATAGTCGCTAGAAATGTTCGTGTTAAATAAAGGTTAGCTGTTATCGTTTGCAGTCAAGTCAGAAATGGCCCATACCTGATCTTCCAGCATGTTTTCTAAGACATAAATTTCAGGAGGATGAGATTTCCTATCCTTCTCCCATGGAATATCTGGTGGGTTCATACCTCATGCCTTTAAGAGTGTAGCTAAGCTTCTTACCACTAGGTCACCTCTGCTCCCTCAGATAAATGTTTAGTATCATTAGTATCTAAATATTACTGATCAGCATCCACTTCCGTAAACAGTTTGCCTCAGGAAACACGACCAACATTGAGAAAGGATGAAAGTCACTCAACTGTCGGGGACTCTTGTTCATAGGGTCACAATGAGTCACCTATGACTTGATGGCACTTAACAACAACAACAAAAATAATGAATTTTAAGTGAAGTAAATAAAATCAACAGGTCATTTTCAGAAGATGAGAGGTTAGAGTGATCAATCAATGTGTAAAAGGTACTCAATGTCACTAACAACCAAAAAAAATCAAATGATGATGGCAATATTGTTTTTTATCTATTAACAAATACACCAACTATCTTTTAACTTATAAATGGAGAGAGAATGTGAGCAAGAGAAGACACACTCTTGCCTACTCTATCATTCTGTAGGGAACTATAAACTGATTTAAGCTCTTTAGATAACTTAGTCCCATATTTGTTATAGGGAGCTCTGGTGGCCTAGTGGGTAAGGAGTCGTGCTGCCAACATAAAAGCAGGCAGTTCAAATCCATCAGCTGTTGTGTGGGAGAAAGATGGACAACCTCTTCTCATGCAATTTACAGACTCTCAAAACCCATTCTAAGATCTGCTATGAGTTTTGGGGTTGTTTTGTTTTTTTATTTTTCTGATTCTATAGCATATATAAACATATTTTTCATGGGTTACTAGTATTAGAAATGCACATACTACTGGGCCAACAATTTATGCTTCTGAATACTTCCACCAGCATAATTTTTTTCCTAACAAGACTATTGTGAATAATAGTTCTTTTAAAATGGAGTTTGTACAATATTTACGGACATGTACAAACTCTGATTATAAAAATAAGCTACAGAAAACTCTTTAAAACTGGTACTGTATTATAGAATTTTCATTTGACTCTGAATTCTAAAATTTAGTAGAATAGATTATGTTAGATAATTTTCTTGACTTTAATTTTTTTGGTATAGAAGTATTCTCTCAAGAAAATATAATAATCTTTTAAATATACTATCAGGAAGACTAAAAATAGAAAAAGAAAACAACAGTGGATGAGGGAGATATGTTAAAGGTCAAATAAAGAGCAGTTTTTGAATTGTGACATCTTAGTCTGAAGAATCAGATATTACTTTCTACAAAAATTTCCCTTATCATAATTCTACTTTTCCAGTCTTTCTTGGTGTTTCTTGCTGTCTACAGGATCCAGAACAGATCACTATAACTGATCCTTGTGCTCCCCTCCCTCCTCGCACGCCCTCTCCTTCCTGGCACTCCCCTCCTTCCTTGAGTTTCTGTATCTCTATATCTCTGATCAGAACCACTCATAGCTGACTCCATACTGGATATCTGAAACTATAAATCACATAAGAAGAAATTGTTCTTTTTTCTCTTGAGGACCCACTGGTGGATTCAAGCCAAGAGAAATATGAACTAAATGTGAACTATTTATTTGGTGGCATGTTCAAATATCATACATCTTCCTCTCTCTCATCTTCCTATGTTATTGTTGTTGTTAGGGGCCATCGAGTCATAGACAACTCATAGCAACCCTATGAATGGAAGACACGAGCACTGTTCACAGACTGTCCAGAGGTAAGCCATTTTGGAAGTGGATGCCACTCCTGCTTCCAAGCTTGTTTTAATCAGGGAGTTCCACCAAACACTGTTACCATGGATGACCATTGTCACATTTGGCACATCAGTGTCACAGCAATCAAGAGTTACCTCTGTATAGCAATGCACAGACCAGTGCTGTACCACCTAGAAGAATGTTTCACACGCAGACACACACACACATACACACACCCCCCCCCCAACAAAAATGTATTTGAACCAAGCCTGAGGGCCACAGATTAAAATCACCTACCTTGAGTTTGGTAGTACAACTTTCTGTCCACTAGGCCAACATAGCTCTCTGTAAGTTGTCATTTTTATACTAAATGTGAATTCCACAGAATCACCACCATTTATCGGGGAGTCAGTTCCTACTCATGGCAACTCTAAGTGTTCAGAGAAGACCAGATCTCCATATGGTTCTCAGTGTCTTCATTTTCAAAAGTATAATAGATCACTAGACCTTTCTTTCTGGGTAGACCTGGTGTGATGTCAGCCTAAAGTTGACTTTTTAAGCCATTATCTTAGCTCCCTTTGGTCTCCAGCTACTTTAACTGTAGACACATTGACCTGCAAATAATCAATAGCTATGGGAGTAGGTTAATAGAAAGAGTGCTTCCCTGGGCAGCGAGACTTGAGGGAGACTGGAGCAATAACCTTGTGAGAGGGAAACTCTGCTGAGAGTGAATTCCTGGTGAGAGCAAAACACTGGTGAGAGCGAGATCTTGATGAGAATGAGACCTGGTGAGAGTGAGTCCCAGACCTGGTGAGAGCCAGACCCCTGGTGGCAAAACTCTAGTGGTGAGTCCTTAGTGATGATGGTAGAGCGAGTGATGGTGGCATTGCTGTGGAGAAACTGTGACAAGAAGGTTGCTGGAAAATTAAAGAATTGTTGACATATAACTATTCTGATGCAAATCTTGCTGGATGATTGAAGAAACTAGAGGCTACTTGATTTGTGTTGCTGAACTGAAACCAGGACTTTTCCCTATTAAGGAATTGTATTTGCTGTTAATTTGGCTTGGGATGGCTGGACTAAACCTGGACTTGTACTGTGAGATATTCTTTGTCTCCCCTACCCTCCAATTTATAGCCCTAATAAACCTCATTCTCAGTATCACAACTGTGAGTAAAGTCTGTGAGTCAACAATGACTATTCTTGCTACTGGTGTGGCTCTGCAGGCTCTTTGTCTGCTTTATTCTGTTATGGGGCAGTGAGGTGCTGTGCTACTTTCATTACTCATGATCCTTTCAGATCCTGTGTCCCTGTGTCCCATTTTGTGCTCTATGAACAATTGGACATGCAACTTTTTAATCAGCTTAATAGCATATTAAATGTTTGCAACACCCAGGGATTTTTATATCAATTGAAAATTACACAACGACAGAAATAATAACTTATTTAACTCTATCTACAATACCTATCAAACTTTACTAGAAATTAACCAATAATTGTTGAATATCTGAAAATAATGAAATAACTGATTAATTGAATCAATTAAAAAAATGAAATATTGTATGTAAGCTAACTCTCCCTAATAAACCTTTTATTTTCCTTCTTCCTTTTCCTTAAAATTTTATTCCCCCATTATCTACTTTTGTAGAGAGTTCTGGTGACAAGGAGTTTCACTGTCAACTCAAAGACAAAAGGTTTGAATATTCCAACTGCTTTATGGGAGAAAAATGGTAAATCTCCTTTAATGTGATTTACTCCCTTTGAAAACCTACTCAAGTCAGTTATAAGTAGGTCTCAATAGCATATCTTTGGATTGTAAAGTCCAAGAAAAGAGCTAGAATTTCAAACAACAATTGCATACGATGATAGTAATATGTTTTAAACTCAAAAATAATCTGAAAGTCACTAAAGCTTTAGAGCTTGGCAAAAGATAAGTGCTGATTTACAAACATATTTTTCATAAAAATATGACAGTTTTTTACAGCTGTGGCTTAGCTATCATCATCTTACCAACAAAGATTAAATTATATTTGAGGAAAATGTGCTGAACAAAAAATGTTTATACAACCTCCCCACTCTCCCACTAAAACTGCCCTGCAGATAAGGTAGAAATGTGACTTTGCCTGGATCATTGTAAATAATCAGTGGGGCATAGAATAGGTCAATGAAACACAGAAAGACATTCTTCCCCTGAATAATAACAATTATAATTGAAAAGACAAAGGTAGTTCTTTGCTCTCCTCCTTCCTATAAAACTGTTTGTTCAGGGTGAACATATTGAGAGCCCAAAAACAAAATTACTCACTCCACTGTTTGTTGCAATATAATTTACAGTCTCAAGAACATGGAAACAGCCCAAATGTGTTACTGCAAAGGAATGGATTGAGAAAATGTGCTACATTCACAAGATTCACATTCAGTAAGTAGCACTCAGGGGCATCAATTTTGAAAATTACTATAGAATTTGGGAAAAACTGGGGAGCATTATGCTGAGTGAACTAACTCAGTTTCATAAGGACAAATGCTGCATAAGAACATTATTGTAAATATAGATAATTAGTAAAATGTGTATCAGGGTTCAAGTGTGGAAGGATTGCAAGCAGAGGGATGAGGATAGGCAGTGAGGAAATCACAGTTGTTCATGTTATTGTTGTTGTTGTTATTGCTACGTGCTGTCAAGTCGCCTGCGACTCATAGCAACCCTATGTACAATAGCCCTAAACCCAGCACTATCTTGTGCCAATCTCATTGTCTCTAATAAACCTACTCCCATTAACCCAATCACTGAATCAATCCATCTCATAGAAGGTCTTCCTCTTCTGTGCAGCCCCTCCACCCTCCCAAACATGACTTCCCTTTCCAAGGACTGGTCCCTCCTTGCAACATGTCCAAAGTATGTCAGACAAAAAGTTTCAGAATCTTAGCCTCTAAGGAGCAGGCTGGCTTCATCCTCTCCGGGACAAACCTGGTCGTTCTCTTAGCAGTTCATGGAATATTCAATACTCTTCTCCAACACCAGAGCTGAAAGGAATCAATTCTCCTTTTATCCTCCCTAGTCATTGTCCAGCTCTCTGATGCATAACAAGTGATTGCAAAGACCATGGCCTGTATCAGGAGCACCTTAGTCTCCAGACTGACATCATCACTCTTCAGTACTTTTCAGAGGTCTCTAACTGCAGACTTTCCCATTGAAATACATCTTTTAATTTCCTGGCTGCTGTTGACAAGATTGTAGATCATGGAGCCAAGCGAATTAAAGCTGTGAAAAAATCTCAATTTCTTCACCATCCTTCATGATCTGCCAATTGGTTTAGTGGTGAGAATCTTTGTTTTCTTGATATTGAGCCTCAATCCATATTGAAGGCTGCAGTCTTTGACCTTTCGCATCAAACGCTTCATGTCCTCCTCAGTTTCAGCAGCAGGGTTGTGTCATCTGCATAACGCAGATTGTTGATGAGTCTTCTCCAATCCTGATGCCATATTTCTCTTCATAGAGCCCAGCCTGCTGGATAATCTGTTCTGAATATAGGTTGAAAAGGTATGGAGCTAGGACACAACTTTGATGCACACCTTTCACAATTTTGAACCATGCAGTGTTTCCTTGCTTTGTTCTGACGACTGCCTCCTGGTTCAAGTATAGGTTTCGCATTAGCATGATCAAGTGTTCTGGGATTTCCATTCTTCTCAGAGTTAGCCACAGTTTGTTGTGATACACACAGTCAAATGCCTTTGAATAATCAATGAAACATAGATAGACATTTCTCTGGTACTCCCTGCTTTCAGTCAAGATCCATCTAACATTAGCTACAGTATCCCTAGTACCATGACCCCTTCAAAACCCAGCCTGCACTTCTGGTAGTTCTCTGCTAATGTGCTGTTCCAGTAATTTTTGGATAATCTTCAGCAGAATCTTGCTTGCATGTGATATTAATGATATTGTTCAATAATTTCCACACTCTGTGGGAGCACCTTTCTTTGTAATGGGAATGATATACATCTCTTCTAGTCAGTTGCCCAGGTGGCTGTCCTCCAGATTTCTTGGCACAACTTGGTGAGAACATTTAGGGCACCATCTGTTAGTTGAAATGTTTCAATTGGTATACCATCAATTCCTGGGGCCTTATTTTTGTCCATTCTTTCAGTTTGAATTTCTATCATCAGCAACACAAACTCTCACTCTTATGTTGTTTCATGAAATTCTTCTGTGTCCGCCAATTCCTTTTGATACAGTCACTTTGTATACTCTTTCCATCTTCTTTTAATACTTCCTGGATCATTTAATATTCTGCCCAAAACATCCTTAAGCATTGCAACTTGAGGCCTAAATTTCTTCTTCTGTTCCTTGAGCTTAAGAAATAATGAGTGAGTTAATCCCCCTTGACTTTCTGACTCCAGTTCTTTGCACATTTCATTATAATAATTTACTTTGTCTTCCCACACTGCCGATTATCCAAAAACGACTGGAACAGCACATTAGCAGAGAACTATCAGAAGTCCAAGCTGGGTTTAGAAGGGGTCGTGGTACTAGGGATATTGTAGCTTATGTTAGATGGATCTTAGCTGAAAGCAGAGAATACCAGAGGAATGTCTATCTGTGTTTCATTGACTATGCAAAGGCATTTGACTGTATGGATCATAACAAACTGTGGCTGACTCTGAGAAGAAGGGGAATCCCAGAACACTTGATCATGCTAATGAGAAACCTACACTTGGACCAGGAGGCAGTCGTCAGAACAGAGCAAGGGAACACTGCATGGTTCAAAATTGGGAAGGGCGTATGCCAGGGATGCATCCTATCTCCATAACTCTTCAACCTGTATGCAGAACAGATTATCTGGGAGGCTGGGCTCTATGAGGAGAAATATGGGGTCAAGATTGGTGGACAATTTATCAACAATCTGCGTTATGCAGATGACACAACCCTGCTTGCTGAAACTGAAGAGGACCTGAAGCACCTGTTGCAGAGGGTTAAGGACTGCAGCCTACAATATGGATTGAGGCTCAATGTCAAGAAGACAAAGATTCTCACCACTGGAACAATTGGCAGCATCAGGATGGATGGTGAAGAGATTGAGATTGTACACAGCTTTAGTTTGCTTGGCTCCAAAGTCAACACTCTTGGCACCAGTAGCCAGGAAATTAAAAGGCACATTGCCATGGAAATGTCTGCTGTTAAGGACCTCTCCAAAGTACTGAAGAACAATGGTGTCTCTCTGGGGACTAAGGTGCATTTGATACAGGCCATGGTCTTCGCAATCACTTGTTATGCATCAGAGAGTTGGACAATGACCGAAGAGGATAGATGGAAAATTGATGCCTTTGAGTTGTGGTACTGGAGAAAAGTATTGAGAATACCATGGACTGCTAGGAACACAAACAGATTCATCCTGGAAAGTGTTAAACCGGGTGGCTCCTTGGAGGCAAGGATTCTGAGGCTCCGTCTAACATATTTTGGACATGTTGTGAGGAGAGACCTGTCCTTGGAGAAGGACGTGATGCTTGGGAGGATGGAGGGATGGCACAGGAGGGGAAGGCCCTCTATGAGGTGAATTGATTCAGTGACTTGGATAGTCGGGATGGGAGTGTTGGAGACAATGCGGTTGGCACAGGACAGAGCAAAGTTTAGGGCTATTGTACATAGGGTCGCTATGAGTCGTAAGCGACTTGACGGCACATAACAACAACAACAACAACAACAACTTCCCACACTGCCTTTAGTTTTCTTGATTTCTGCCTGTCTTGATTTCTTCCCTCTGCTTTGGCTTCTTGGTGCTCTAGGGAAATATTTAAAGTCTCTTCTGACATCCATTTTTGTCTTTTCTTCCTCCTCTGTCTTTGTAATGACCCTTTGCATTCTTCCTGCATGATATTCTTGATATCTTCCCATAACTCATGTGGTCTTCACTCCTTAGTGTTCAAAGCCTAAATCTGTCCCTGAGATGGTTTTGAAATTCAGGTGGGATAGACTCAAGGTCTTATTTTGGTTCCCTTGTATTTTACTTCACTTTCCTTAGTTTCAGCTTGAATTTGCATATGAGTAGTTGGTGGTCTTTTCCATAATCAGCACCCAGCCTAGTTTTCACAGTGGATAGTGAGCCTCTCCAGCGATTCTTTCCACAGATATAATCTATCTGATTCCTATGCATAGCATCAGGTGAAATCCATGTGTATAGCTTGCATTTATGTTTCTTATAAAATATAGTTGCATTGAATAAATAATTGTGCAAAATTCTATCATCTTATCTCTAGCCTCTTTTCTGTCATAAATGGTGAAGAGATTGAGATTGAGATTTTTGACAGCTTCAGTTCTATTGGCTCTATAATCATCACTCTTGGCACCAACATCCAGGAAAATAAAAGATGAATTTGGGAGCGAGGAGGGGAAGTCTACTGTCAGAGACCTCTCCAAGTACTGGGGAGCAACTATATCAGTCTGGAGACTAAGATGTGCCTGATACAGGTCACGGTCTTTGTAATTACTTGCTATGCATCAGAGAGCTGGACAATAACTAGGGATGATTGAAGGAAAATTGATGCTTTTGAGCTGTGGTGCTGGAGAAGAGTATTGAATATATCATGGACTGCTATAACAAACAAGTTTGTCCTGGAGAGTGTGAATCCAGGTTGCTTCTTGAAGGCAAGGATTCCCAAGCTTTGTTTGACATACTTTGAACATGTTGCAAGGTGGATCAGTTCTTGGAGAGGGATGTCATACTTGGGAGGGTGGAAAGACAGTGCAAAAGAGGAAAACCCTCAATGAGATGGATTGATTCAGTCACTGGGGTAATGGGGATAGGTGTGTCAGAGACAATAACATTGGCAAGACATAGAGCACAGGGTTTAGGGCTGTTGTACATAAGGTCTTTATGAGTCTCAGGCAACACAATAGCACAGAACAACAACAACAGCAAGGACTAATGTTGTGGTTACCCACTGCCCATTCATCAGTTGGCTCTGACTTACGACAATTATGCACCCCGTTTCCAACTCTACAAATCTTTACAGTGGAATATGTTTGTCTTTCTTCTTTGGAGTATCTGATGGTGCTGACCTTTTAGTTAGCAACTAATACACTATAACTAAAACACCACTCTAATAGACCAAATGGGGTTATTTTTAAAAAGAAAATATAATATTTTAGTGATTAGCCAAATCTTACCTCGTATCTGTCAGGAACGTGGCCTTTTAAGATATAGAATATGTCATCTATGCATAATCCCTCCTCTTTCTCTCTCAGCCCCAATGAATCACACAGAATAAATGGTAGGTGAGATCCATCTTTCCCATTCTTTACAGAATATGTTCTAAACTGAAGAAAGAAAACATAATTTTAAGAGTTCATGTTTAAAAATTATAAACTTATAAATTCTATATATTTGATCAGTGTGTTGCTTTGTATATCAAATTAGCTGAGTAAAGGAACAAGGATTTTGATGACTTCTGAGAATGCACTCACCTGGTTTGCAGAAAGACTCATTACAGCCTGGTTAGTTACACGCCCTCGGAAAACAGACTTCACTGAATTGATAAAACTAGACTTCCCAGTTCTACTTGGTCCCAGAAACAGAATTCGTGCTGGGCAAACCAAACCTCCACATGGGTTGTATGTTTCTATGTCATACAATAAATTCTTCTTGAACCTGTTCAAACACAAGTTTTAACAACAGATAAGGTTAGCCACGAAGACTTTAACTTTTTCAGGAACTCATTCTATTTTCTTATATACATTTTTTTCATTAATAATTTTTCCTAGACTTTGAAGAATAAAGTGCTTTAGAAGTCACTCTACTTCAAGCTGCAAGTTAAAAAATGTAAACAAAATTACCATATTAACTAAAATTGTACTTATATACATACATATATATGTGTGCGTGTGTGTGTGTGTTGTTATGTGCCATTGAGTCGTTAGCAACTCATAGCGACCCTATGTACAACAGCCTAAACTCTGTCCTATCCTGTGCCAATCTCACCCTCTCCGACACACCTACCTAGCAAGTGATTGTAAACACCATGGCATATATCAGGTGCACCTTATCTCCAGACTGACATCATTGCACTTCAGTACTTTAGAGAAGTCTCTAACCGCAGACTTACCTATCGCAATACATCTTTTAATTTCCTGGCTTTGGGTGCCAAGAGAATGGACTGTGGAGCCAAGCAGCAGCCAGGAAATTAAAAGATGGATTGCACTGGGAAAGTCTGCTGAAAAGTACTAAAGAGCAGCATTGTCAGTCTGGAGACTAAAGTGTGCCTGATCCAGGCCATAGTCTTGGCAATTACTTACTATGCATCAGAGAGCTGGACAATGACTAGGAATGATAGAAGTAGAATTGACGCCTTTGAGCTGTGGTGCTAGAGAAGACTATTGATTATACCATGGACCGCTAGTAGAACAAACAAGTTTGTCCTGGAGAGGGTGAAGCCAGGCTGTTCCTTGGATACTGAAGATTTGTCAGACATACTTTGGACATTTTTCAAGGTGGGACCAGTCCTTGTAGAGGGACCTCATGCTTGGGAGGGTGGAAGGGCAGTGTAAGAGAGGAAGACCTTCAATGAGATGGATTGATTCAGTAACTGAGGTATTGGGGGTAGGTCTGTCAGAGACAATAAGATTGACATAGAATGTAGTGGAGTATAGGGTGATTGTACAAAGGGTTGCTATGAGTCACCAGCAACTCAACAGCACAGAACAACAACAGTCTTCTATGAGGTATAGCAGACTATGAACATTATTTTTCAGTATGACTTCTTTAGTTTTTATTTGATGTTTCTATATAGATAGGCAGGTCTATTTGAATGGGTGTGTTGGCCTATCCACAGGGGAATTGGCTATCTACCATCCAAAGGAACATTATCCAGTTTCAACAATCTACAAGGGAATTGGATAGTCTCGAGAGTAAGTTGTAGAGCTCTAGCTGCAGAGATGAAATGTTCCCTTGCCTGAGAAGAAAAAATTCTTCAACTACCAGAAGAGAAAGGTGACCTCCATTAACCCTGTAAAATGTAGAACACGCATTGGAACAGCAACAGCAGTGATGTCTGAAATGGAGAACTGATGTGAGACGAGACTTTGGGGAGGAGAGGAAGGCAATAGTGGTAGGACTGAGAACTTTATTGGACAATTGTGGGTGAGGAGCCAATGTTGGCAGGATTGAGAACTTGGGAACACTTATACCCACAAAGTCCACATAGAGCGCTGACTTGACCATATTCTGTTATTAATCCAAATTATAACCTTCTGACTTCTTCAATACAGTTCTGTGTGCCCTTTGAGCTATCACATCAGATTTTGGACCTAGATAAGGAGTAGGATTGGTGTTGGGATAGGTAAAAAGAGTCCTGTGAGCATAAAGGAAGTATTTTTCCTCATGGAGATGGATTTTTTGTTATTAATGCTGTGAGTGGGCATAGATTCCCTCTATAAAGTTGTTAAAGGTCAAATATGGTTCTGTCCACACGGCTCTTGCTCTTTTTAAACAGATTTAAGTTATTTAAGCCACTGAATAAACTAATATCAAGTTAAATATAGAGGTAAATTATCAGTAAATAATTAAAACAAAAAAGCTCAAACAATTAACTTGATGTGACCTTTTTTCAGTCTATGGAAGTAGAACATATCTGATGTTATTAATGTTCACAACAAATAATCCCACTTGCTCCCCACCTCCTTCCAGAGTTATTTCCTAGCTTAATTGAAAGTGGATTTCCAAAACTCCCAGGTGAAAATGTAAATATATAGCCAAAGAGGGGTTTAAAAAAAAACTTAAAAAAGAGAAAGACCTTTCTGCTAGCTAATATTCTTTTGTTTTAGTTTCCTATTATTAAAGAGTTTTAGATTTATGGAAATAGTTACAGCTTGAGGAACTAATTTTATTGACCAAAGTGATGATAGAATAAAAATATGATAATAAATAGCAATAGAGTGTCAAAAACATTCACTTACTCAGTTAGACCATTGATTTTTCTTCCATCCAATAAATCTAGAAAATAATCAAAGAACAAGAAACATCAGAAGTTGCTGCGTAACAATGACAAGGCTAACTGAATGAATGTGAATGAACTAGCGAATAATATATAGTCTTTCCATGAGCACAACATAGAATAATTGAGAGAAAATTCTGGTAATACCATTAACAACATCTGAGTTGAATGACAGTTAGGGTCAAGATGAATGTATCATGTCAAGATTATGTCTCTACATGGAGACCTTGCTTGCTCTCTACTGTGTTTCAACAGTATAACATCAACAGATAATTTTAAAATTCTAAATATATAGAAAACAACTCTAATGTAAACACAAAATTTACTTGAATTCAAGACTAAACTATAAAATAAATATTTTTGCAGGCACAAAATATGAACAAATATAGAAAAAAATAATTTTTAAAGATTAAATATTTTTTTCAAGTTACTATCGACTCTCTAACCCAACATCTCCAACAAATTGAAAAAGAAGAGCAAGGAAAACTGATACCCTCTAAAAAACTGAAATGATAAAAAATAGAGCAGAAATAATTAAAATGGAAAACAGGAAAACAATTGAAACCATTAACAAAATTAGGAGTTGGTTCTTTGAAAAGTTCTATAAAATTGACAAACCACTACCAAAACTAAAAATAAAAACAAAAGAAAAGGCACAAATAATCTGAATAAAAGACAAAATGGCCAACGTCACAACAGAACCAACTAAGATAAAAAGGCTAACATTGGAATTATGAAAAACTACACTCAAACTAATATGAAAACCTAGAGGAAATGGACAAATACTTAGAAATTCACAACGTACCTAACCTGACAAGAACTGAAATTGAAAACCTGAACAGCCCCATTACAAAAGAAGAAATTTAAAAGGTCATAAAATAACTTCCAGCTAAAAAAAAGTCCTAGACCAGATGGTTGCACAAGTGAATTTTATCAAACATTCAGAGGAACTGTCACTAATTCTACGTAAAGTATTTCAGAGAGTAGAAAAAGGTGAAATTCTCCCAGACTCATTCTATGAAGCAAACATATCCTTGATACTAAAGCCAAATAAAGATACCACCAAAATAGAAAACTATAGGCCACTATCTCTCACGAACATAGACGCAAAAATCCTGAATAAGATCCTGGCCAATAGAATCCAATGATAAATTTAAAAAAAAGTAAAAATCACCATGATCAAGCAGAATTCATAAAAATATGCAAGGATGGTTCAACATAAGAAAAACAATCAATGTAATTAATCATATTAACAAAGCAAAGAACAAGAACCACATGATCCTACCATATGACTCAGAAAAACCTTTGACAAAATCCAACACCCTTTCTTGATTAAAACGCTGAACAAAATGGGATTAGAGGGTAATTTCATCAATGTAATAAAAAGTATATATGCAAATCCGAGAGCCAACATTGTTCTCAATGGAGAGAGATTAAAAGTATTCCCTTTGAGAAGAGGAACTAGGCGAGGATGCCCATTTTCACCTCTCCTATTCAATACCATATTGGAAGTCTTAGCAGTAGCAATAGGACAAGAGAAGGAAATAAGAGAGGTGAAATTATATCTATATGCAAATGATATGATAGTATACTTAAAACACCCTAAAGACTCAGCAAGAAAACTACTGGACATAGTTGCCAATTCAGCAAAGTGGCAGAATACAAGATCAACATACAAAATTCAATTGGATTTCTCTACAGTGATAAAGAGAATACAAAGCTGGAGCTAAGAAAATCAATACCCTTCACAATAACTAATCACAAGATTAAATACCTGGAAGGAAATCTAACCAGAAGCACAAAGGATCTATTCAAAGAAAATTACAAAACCTTACTTCAAGAAGCAAAAAGAGACCTGGAGAAATGGAAGAATATACAATGCTCATGGAAAGGAAGACTCAATATTGTGAAATGACAATACTACCAAAATCATTTTGTCAATTGTGTTGTCAATGCAATACTAATATAAATACCAATTCCATTCTTCAAAAAGATGGAAAAGGCAATCTCCAATTTCATTTTAAATGAAAAAAGGCCCCAAATAAGCAAAGCACTCCTTAGAAAGAGAAACAAGGTAGGAGGCATCTCACTCCCTGATTTCAAATCCTATTACATTGTCGTGGTGGTCAAGACAGCATGGTACTGGTACAATGACAAGACACATTGATTAATGGAATAGAATTGAGAACCCAGAAATCAGCCATCTACCTATGGTTAACAGATTTTTGACAAGGAGATAAAATCAGTTAAGTGGGGAAGCGACAGCCTTTTAAACAAATGGTGTTGGCAAAATTAGAAAACTATCTGTAGAAAACTCAAGCAAGATCCACATCTCACTCCAATACACAAAATCAACTCAAAGTGGATCAAGGACCTAGGACTAAAACCAAAGATGATAAACTTCATTAGAGAAAAGCTTAGAAGAACTCTAGAAGCCCTAATCTACAACATAAACAGTATTCCAAGCATCCTGAAAAACCTGCATCCAGGAGAGGATAATATAGATTAATGGGATCTTCTAAGAACTAAATCCCTATACACATCCAAAACCTTCTCCAACAGGATCTAAAGGGAAGCCATAGACTGCAGAAAAAATATTTGGTAATGACAGATCAGATAAGGGACTTACACCCAGAATTTATAGAAAACTCGAGTGCCACAAGATAAAGGTAAACAACCCAATTGAAAAATGGGCACAGGAAATAAACAGACACTTCATCAAAGACATTCAGATGGTGAACAAATACATGAAGAAATGTTCAAAATCCCTAGCTCTAAGAGAGATGCAAATAAAAACAAATATGAGATGTAATCTCACCCTGTAAAAATAGCAAAATTCAATAGAATAGCAAACAACAATTGCTGGCAAGGTTGTGGAGAAAATGGAACCCATATTCACTATTGGTGGGAGTGTAAAATTACGCAACCACTATGGAAGGCAGTATGGTGCTTTCACAAAAAGTTGCAAATAGGAAAATCATTTGACTGAGCAATTCCGTTCTGGGGAATATACCCTAAAGAAACCAAAACTGCCACCCAAGCAGATATATGCTCACCAATGTTTATCGTGTCTTTGTTCACAGTAGCAAAGAGTTGGAAACAACCCAAGTGGGTGACCCTGGAGGACATTATGCTGAGTGAAATATCTTAGTCACAAAAGGACAAATACTGCATAGTTCCACAGTTGTAGAGCAGGGCTGACATGCTGGTAAAAACTAAGAGGGGAAACTAATGTATACTGCATTGAAACAGATGGAAAGAACTATTCAGGAGGAATATATGATTAGATATTATTATCATGGCAAGAGATCAGAATGAAATCTGCATAGTTGAATGGACTAGGGCAGGGGGAATGGTATAACAATGAAAGGATTTCTTTTTTTTTTTTTTAACTTTTCAAAGAGAAATGCGAACTGGGGGTGAGGGGTGGGCAGGGAGTAAAGTGTGCAAAAATGATTGAATGGAAGTCCAAAGTTTGTAAATTGTCATTAAAACAAAAAAAAATTTAACAGTAAAAAAATAGAAGTATTAAATATTTTTTTTCCAAAATGACATCAATGCTGTGGAAATGATAAAATCTAAAGAAATAAAAGGAAAGCCAAGGATAAGTGCTCTGATGTTAATTGAAGTATAGCGACCACAGAAAAATAATTTTAAATATGTCATCAACAAACCCCCAGGGTGACAACATAGGTCCATGGCTCATTGTCACCAGAATGACAGAACCTGTGACTCAAGGATAGGTCTCGAAAGCTTAAAAATTCAAGCAGGAGTTTAGTGGAAACTTTCTCCTACAGGTCAGTGGTTCTGACCTCTGCCTGAAATCACATATACACAAACCATAACATCGCTTTATTCTGTTCCAATAAACCTTCTTCTCCAGTGAAATGACTAACAGAAACAAAACTATGACTTCACACTCACAGTTTTAAAAAAACTGTTTTCAAGAGTTCCTCTCTTAAATGGTTAGATATAAACAAGTATCTCATAGAAAAAGAAATGCAAATTATCAATGCACACAGACTTGCTAGTTACTACAAATAAACTAAAAAGAAAATGAAAATTCATCTTTTGACCAGTTAATGTTTGATAATATCTAAGATTAGCAAGGATGACAGGGAAATAGAAGTTTCTATAACATTGTTAGGGATAATATGAACAATGAAGCTTTTGTATAATATCTCTAGAAATACAAATGGTCTTTAAATAGCAATTGCACTTCCATGAAGTTACATTAAGGAAGTATTTTTGTACACAGTATTATATGCATTAAATATTACAGGAATATTGTTCATACAGTAAAAAAGGAAAATAAATGCTTTTTGCTAAAGAAATAATTATATTTATTGTGTATGTTGGTCAAATTGGCAACTGCAGTAGAAGTTATCCAGTACTTCTGGGCAAATATTTATGACACAGATACAGTTTCTGATTTCTTTCCAAGCTAGCCTCAGAGTCTCAAAATCTTTATATCAGTCTCTTTCTCTCTGTGCATCATCTCTCTCTCTTTCTCTTACTCTCTCTCGCTCTCTAACACATATACACACTCACCCCCCCCCAAATCCCCTTTAGAAATCTGTACAGTCTACTCCCATTCTGTCCTAGTAAATAACTTGTGGCCAAGTTTCAGTATGAGCCATCTGGAAGCGAGGATAATTGAAGTGGAAAAAACAGTTAAAAGTTTGTATTTAAAATTTTTTTCTTAAAGACATTAATCAGCTCAATATCATCAAATATATAAGGGAAAACTCAATTGATTAAACTTACCTTCACATCGAAAAACCTCACAGTCCTGAAAAGAATATTTATCGTCTTCCTGTAGTCCTTTTTTTTTTTTTTAAGTAAAGAGGCATCCATAATTAAATATCTTTTTCTTAGGTTTATCGGTAAATTACATGTCTCAAAGTATAACATACTTCCACTGGCAACAATATCTTTTCTCTTGATGCTGTTTTTCTTAGTGAATCTTTTAAATAGTAGTTCTTCAAATATTGAAATAATAGTCTTTTGAAACATAAAAAGGATAACAGAACCTCTATTAATTTTCTGGTAACTCTCTTGAATATAGGCTCCAAAAACAGAGTCATGAAAATAAAACACTGTTATAGTAGGTCCTTGATCATAGCATTTCTGAAGCAAGCTACTTTCATTGAATCCATGGACACTAGCTTTATAAAGGAGACTGAATTGCCTTCCGTCAAAATAATTTTGTAGATACTTTTCTTGCTTCCATGTTAGCTGAGTTGTCACGGCCATACTTCCCAACCTGGCAGAAAATTACATGCATTCCCATTAAATATTGAAACAGATTACATGTGCTAGTACAAAATTAGCATTTATCACTCCACATTACTTACAAAATGAGCAAACAGGCTTAGCAAGTAAGAAGATCACTAGTCAATTGTTTATTCTATTTTTTAAAAAAAATAAATAAATATATAAATAAAAAAAACAAATTTACTTCCTGTTAGTGGCTAGGATGAAGTAAAAGTAGCAAGTTATTTACCTGACGGTAGAATCTACAAAAGTTAGAGCTGAGGGCAGCTGTCCCGTCTGGTAGTAACGCAGGCATAAAATGGAAGCAGAGATCTCTACAGCAGTTTTGAAGAACCAGAAACACAGAGAAATGAAACTGAAACTCATTATGGTCCTACCAGCTAGGCAATATGCTAATCTCCCTCTTCTTGAAGCATAAACTGATCCAGTTAACTTCAGATAGTAAAATTGCCCTTTTGGCACTGGATTAGGGAAGGGATATGATAGCAGCCCACTGTATTAGCCTAGGAGTGAACTAATGCTCACAGCGGTGACCAGTGAGTGGAAGAGTGAGCTCTCCCACCATCTATCCACCACTACCTTCTACTCTTCTACCCAAAAGTGTTGTGACTGTGCCCCACTCACCCATCACACCCATCACCTCAACTACATGGTGAGTATCATTGCTTACTCTATCATAACTAACTTGATAATCATAGTTAATACCTATCAACCATACCCTTAGCAACTACACAGGACTAGGAAACAGATCTTCACTCAAATGCAAAGTAACTACTATTTCATCCTTAAAATGACAGCTGAAATGCTACCTAGAAGAACAACACATGTGTACTTGAAATCTCAGAAGAGGACATCAAAATGTATATGTATTTATAGAGAGGACTTTTGAATATTTGCTGCTAGCAAACCTCCTTAACATTATGAAAGGCGAGAAGCTCAATGAACCCTATGCAGGATCAAAATATCTCCTATCCGAACTTTTCATAATAAAGAAAGCAATTACCAATCCAGAATTCTCTATTCAGCAAAATGGTCTCTCAAATTAAATTGGATATTCTTAGACTAATAAAATTAATAGAATTTGTGAAAACTAGACCATTCATTATAAGAAATAATAAAAGGAATTTCTCAAAGAAAGAGAAAAAGAAACAACCTCAGACAACAACCTGAGACTGAGACCTGTGAAAGTATCACCAATGCAAGACACTATCTCTCCAAAGTAGAACAAAATTATGGGATTTAAAAATGTCAACCTTTAAAATGACAAAAATTTCAAAATAAAAAGGAGTAAAAGTAACAGGATTCCTCCACACAAAGAGAACAAGAAACCACAGCCCCCCAAAAAAGAAAAGCAGGAAAATAGTATTATTTACATTATCCCACAGAAAAATAAAATATGTGGAAGTAAATCTAACTATAGGTCATGCCACCTTGTATTTGGAGCCCAAAGCTCTCATGGCATACTTCTGGGAACCTACCGACTGTGCTACACGTGGAACTGGAGGGCAGCACTTGTGACAAGAGTCCTGCTGCTCCATCATCCTGCACCCTCCACGGCCACATTTGTAACAGTGTACCACTTGGAGAATGCTTCAACCTGATATACTGTAGGTTTCCAGTGACAGTCTAGTCTAATATTATACTTCTTTTTCACCGTTGAGTCAGAACCAACTCAAACTTGATCCTCTACTGGGATTTCAGAGGTATTAAATCAAATGTGCCGGGGGAGCAGCTGGTAGATTCAAACCACATGCCTTTGAGATCGCAGTACCTCTTCCTCCCTCTTCACACTGTTGTTGTTGTTGTTGTGTGCTGTCAAGTGGAAATTGACTTACCACTGACCCTCACACTGTTGTTGTTGCTGTTGTTATGTGCTGTCAGGTTGGAACTGACTCACAGCTGACCCTCTAGTGCATTTTCAGAGGCAGTAAATTCCACAGGAGTTGATTGCCCATCTTTCTACCATGAAACAGCTGGAGGATCCGAACTGTGTGCCTTAGGGTTGGTAGCACAGTTCCTTAACATTAAGCCACCAGATCTCTCTACCCTATTTAACCTAGCTATGTCTAATTGGGTTCCCTGTCCAAATTCCTTAGGCTGGTAAAGGCATCATCCCTGGCTAGGCAAGAGTACTCTAGTTACTTTGAGTCCAGAAAAATCTCTGTCTCAGGCTGGGTACCCTACTTCTCTATACACAGGCGGAGTGTTCCAACTCTGGACACATCCATAGGCTTCAATAACCGCTGAGATAAGCAGAAGCTTTGACCTAACTGTGCATCCAGACTCCTATAATTTCCTGGGCTAGCAGATACACTGTCCCATACCAGACAACTTAGTTTTGCTTTATGTGTTGTTATTTTTTTGTCCTAGATTTGTGAATATATGTCTGCTTGTTTATTTATATTCTAGTTCGTATTTGTAGGTATGACACTTATCTACCACGTAACCACAATGTGTTGATTTGCACATTGCATGTTGTTGTGAGGCTGCAAATTATGTCTTTGGTAATTAAAATATCAGCAGGGTCATCCATGGTGGACAAAGATAGATTAAGAAGTTGAACTGGCCACTCAATTCTGAAATAAAAGGTCTTCAAGAACTCTATGAAAAACAGAATAACAACATTACACAGCCTCAAAGGATGCACCTTTTATATTTAAGGTACTCAGTAAATTTATAAAGCTTCCAATACCCATTAATAACTGGAATTTAGAATATACAACATATTAATCTAAGACAATTGGAAGTCATCAGAAATCCTAGGCATTATTGATTTGAGATGATCTGGTATTGCCAGCTTGATGAGATAATCATATGATCTACAAGGCCAAGGATGACTATCCTGAAGTCCAGGGCCGTGAGTTATAAACAACTAGTAGTCACCTAACAAAGAATATACAACAAAGGAAGTAAAAGACTTATACAAAGAAACAACAACATTTTACTGCAAGAAACCAAAACAATTTCACATAAATGGAAGAGCATGCTATGCTCATAAATAGGATAACTTGTTATTATAAAAATGTCAGTACTACCTTAAATAATCTACAGTCAAGTCAATCAAATTCCAGTAACAATCTTCAAAGAAATAATAAAATAATTACAGATTTTATATAGAAATCATTGTGGTAAAGGTAAAACATTCCTGAAAAAGAGGAATACAATAGGAGAAACACTCCTCTATCTGAGACCTTAGTAGTCAAAATGGTTCTTTGAAAGGAACAAAGGTAATATGAGTAAGGTTGAGTCTGATTTCTACTAACTATACAAAGGGGACCTATCTCCGTCAATGGTATTCAGTGTACCAGGATAATAGTTACAAGATCAGACATGTCCTCCATTCTGTTGTTGCCAAAGTTGTGGGATGTATAAGGAAAACAAGTTGTAGGAAGGGCGTGTGGGACATCAAAGGATAACACACAGTGCAAATTCTGACTCAGTCCTGCCTCAGGTTTCTTTAATTATCCAGGAAGCTTTGTCTCACAGTAGTCATAAATCAGCTCTACTCTCAATTATCCTGAAAGGAAAAGTTTTAAATCTGGCTTCATCTCCAGATTTCTTCCAGGTTATGTATACTACAGTATCTCCATAGTCTGGCCAGCTCTTTCTCTAATATTAGTTTCATAACTGTGGAGTATGGCTTTCACATGTTGTAGAAGACACATTAATAAGCAGAGAATCATGTGTCTGCAGTTTAGGTAGCTGGAGACCACACCCCCAGAGAGAGTTAGGGCAATGGATAGAAAAGCCGTTTTCAAAAGCCTTAATGCCACAAGAAGAAAGATTGGTAAAAGGATAACCACATAGACCAATAGAATAGCACTGAGAATCTAAAAATAAAAATATGGACCATTAATGACTCAAAATTTGAAAGTTATGAAATGAAAAAGAGGAAGACTCTACCAAAAAAATGCTTGAAAATTGGATTTCTCTATATAGAAAATTATAGTAAGATCCTTACCTCTCACTAATTTTGTTATTATGTGCTGTTGAAAAGAATAGGACTCATAGTGACCATATGAGAATTAGCTCTATAACCTGCCTTACCTAGAGCCAATCTCACTATTTCTGACACACCTGTCCAATTACCACAGTCACTCTGTAAATCCGTCTCATCCAGAGTCTTCCTCCCATGTGCGGACCCACCACCTTTTCAAGCATGATGTTCCTCTCCAAGGACAGTTCCCTCTGACAACATGCCCAAAGTATGTGAGACAGAGTTTCAAAGCCCTTGCCTCCAAGGAGCAGTCTGATTTCACCCTCTCAAGGACATAAATATTTGTCCTCTTGGTGGTCCATAGTATGTTCAATACAATTCTCCAGTACTACAGCTTAAAGGAATCAATAATTCTTTTGCTATCCTTAGTCATTGTCCAGCTCTCTGATTCAGAGCAAATAATTGAGAAGATCATGGCTCGGATTAGGTGCATCTTAGTTTCTAGACTGACATCAATTCTCTTCAGGACTCTGGAAAACACCCTGGCAACAGATTTCCTCAATGCAACTTGGTTTTTTGGTTATCTGACTTTTGGTACTAAGAGTGTTGGTTGTGGAGCTGAACAAGCTGAAATTATTTATTTAAATTATTATTATTTAAATCCAGTATCCACCTGCCATGATGCTGTCAATTAGCCCAGGGGTGAGAATCTTTGTTTTCTTGATGTTGAGCTTCATATAACAATGAAGAGTTCAGCCTTTGACCTTCTGCAGCAAATGCTTCAGGTCCTCCTCAGTTTCAGCAAGCAAGGTTGTGTCATCTGTATAATGCCGGCTATACAAGAATCTTCCTCCAATTCTGAGAAAACATTCCTCCTCATAAAGTCCAACCTTTCTCTGCAGCTGGCTAATTTGATCTGTAAATTTGACTTGGAAGCACAACTCCTTAGGGTCACCAGAGGTCTCTTACCTCATGCTATACGCAAAAACTAACTCAAAATGCATAAAAAACTTCAATGTAAAACATAGCTCCATAAAGGTTT